TTACTCCGTTGCCGACCTCTGCTTTGTACCTGACCCTGCTGATTGTATCCTGCTTAACCCTTGGCTTGCCTGACCATCCTTCTGCCTGACCCCTTGTACCGCGCTGTCCGCTAGTTACTGAACCCGGCTTGTGACCTCGACCATTCTCTGCCTTCTCCTCCGGTACCTCGCTGCCCACACGTTGCTGACCTGGCCTGCCTGACTACGCTTCCAGCCACCCAGACGATCCATCCATCCGTCCCGCAGGGATCGTCCCTGGTTACCAGGTCTGCCAGCCTCTTCACAGCAGACTCCTTACCCCGCACTCCTCTGACGGTGCTCTCTACCATTGTCGAACATACTCAGGGGTCGCGACCTGGTCTCAGTCTGCTCCAAGTCCATCCCCACCACCAGGGGCCCTGGTGAATAAGCAGATTGGGACTTAGACCCCGCACCCTGAGGAAATCCGTGCTGTGGACCGATAGTGATGCCGCGGATCGTGACAGTACCAAACGGCCAGATGTCGGAGTCTGGAAGAGGACCATCCCCATTGGAGGACATATGCCAGCACCTGGCGGCACTAACCTAGGCAGTAAAGTAGACGCGGCTGAGGAGTATGCGGCAGAGTTCAGGTGCTGGATGGGAGACACGCAGTGGAATGACGCTGCCCTGCGCCACCAGTTCCGCATTGGTTTATCTGAGCCTCTGAAGGATGAACTAGCTAGGGGAGGCATACCAGCCACATTGGAAGACCTCATCACTCTGGCCATCCAAATTGATCGGCGGTTGCAGGAACGCAGAATGGAGAGATCCGGCCAGAGTCAGAGGCCTACATGGGTATTGCCCCGTGTGCCAGTGCAGACCACCTTGCCTACTGAGTACCCCTACCCGGAGACAGTGGACGCACCCGAACCTATGCAAGTAGGGTTAACCCGTCCCTCTCATTAACGCCCGAGGAACGCCAGAGTCTACAATCTATGCCTGTACTGTGGGGAAGCGGGACACATGGTTCGTTCCTGCCCAGCAAAATTGGGTAAGTGTTCATCTGTTTTTTCTGCCACATCTTCCACTGACATTAATAGTTCTAGTTACTTAGCAGTATCTGTCTTGTTCCAGCTTCCCGGAAGGACCATATCAGCAACAGCCATCGTTGATTCCGGGGCCTGTAGCTGCTTTATTGATCTAGGGTTTGCGGCACAATATCAGATTCCCCTACAATCCAAGGAATGTGGATTGAACATCTTCCTGGCTGACGGGTTTCGAATCAAATCGGGAGTGGTAGACCGAGAAACCTCACCCGTCTGTGTTACAGTGGCAGGGCACCACCAAGAGTTCCTTCGTTTGGATGCCATTGCATCCCCTTTGTTTCCAATTATTCTGGAGCTTCCTTGGCTACGGGCACACGATCCCCAGATTAGTTGGAAAACCGGAACGCTCCAATTCAGCTCTCCATACTGTCGGGAGAACTGCGCTCTCCCGGCATCTTTGACTCCACGCTCCCTGTTATGCTTAGACACTGACGCAGAATTGACGCAACTCATTCCCCCGGCTACCGCAGCTTTCTAGACGTGTTTAGCAAACGAGGAGCGGATAACCTTCCCCCACATAGGCCCTATGACTGTCCGATTGACCTGCTCCCAGGATCTGAGGTACCCTTTGGGCGAATTTTTCCCTTATCAGAAAGAGAATTGGGGGTACTCAAAGAGTATATTGAGGAGAATCTGCAGAAGGGGTTCATTCATCCCTCCACATCCCCGGCCGGGGCGGGAATCTTCTTAGTTGAGAAGAAGGACAAATCCCTGAGACCCTGCGTGGACTACAGGGAACTCAATAAGATCCCGGTAAAGAACCGCTACCCATTGCCCTTGGTACCGGAATTATTCCAGAGTCTCAGGACAGCGTCCATTTTTACTAAGTTGGATCTAAGGGGGTCCTATAATTTGGTCCGCATTTGGGAGGGAGACGAATGGAAAACTGCCTTCCGGATGAGGTTCGGACATTTTGAATGTCTGGTAATGCCTTTTGGTCTGTGCAATGCCCCAGCAACCTTTCAGCATTTCATTAATGATGTGTTCCGAGACTTTCTGGATATCTTTGTGGTCATCTAAGTAGATGACATCTTAATTTTCTCTGCGTCCCTAGAAGAGCATAGGGGCCACGTTAGAAAGGTGCTAGAACGGCTCCGTCTACATGGGCCCATGTAGACGGAGCCGTTCTAGCACCTTTCTAACGTGGCCCCTATGCTCTTCTAGGGACGCAGAGAAAATTAAGATGTCCCCATATTGAGCCATCCGGGCTCATCACTACCTTACATTCTGGAGGTGGACGCATCCAAAAATGCAGTAGGAGCTGTGCTATCCTAGAGGAAGGGTGTCAAGGAATTGATGCACCCCGTGGCATTTCTCTCCAGAAAACTGTCGTCTGCAGAGTGGAACTATGATATTGCAGACTGGGAACTTCTGGCCATCAAGGCAGCTTTAGAGGAATGGAGGTACCTACTGGAGGGGGCTCTGCATCCAATTCTGATCTTCACGGACCATAAGAATTTGGAATACCTGAGGACAGCGAAACGCTTAAGACCACATCAGGCTAGGTGGGCACTCTTTTTCTCTAGATTTGTGTTCCACATAACATATAGGCCTGAATCAAAGAACACTAAACCTGATGCCCTCTCGCGTATGTTTGAAGACCCTGAGGAACCCCACAAACCAGACACCAGCCTGTCTTCTGGGAATTTCCTCGCGTTACAGACCGAGCTACGGTCCCAAATACAGGCTGCATCCGTCGGAATGTCAAGCCCACCAGGAGTATTGCTACAGAATAAGGAAGGACTTTGGTGGAAGGAGGGACGGATCATGGTACCCAAAGAGTCCTGCACCGCAGTTTTGGGTCACTGTCATGATCATCCTCTGGCTGGCCACTTTGGGGTACGGAAGACATTGGAACTGCTGCAACGTACGTTCTGGTGGCCCAGCATGACTATGGATTGTGAAGCGTATGTAAGGACCTGTGCGGTTTGCCAGAGAAACATGCCTTCCAGAAGCAAGGCCTGGGGTCTGCTACGACCTTTACCCATACCTAAGAGACCACGGGACATGATCTCCATCGATTTCATTGTGGAGCTCCCACCATCCCAATACCATACCGCCATTTTTGTGGTGGTGGACCGCCTGTCTAAAATGGCCCATTTTCTGCCCCAGAAAGGTACACCATCAGCTACCGAGACAGCACAAGTTTTTATAAAGGAAGTAGTAAGACTTCATGGGATCCCGAAGGACATCGTCTCAGACAGAGGAGTTCAGTTTACCTCTAAATTCTGGAGAGCACTATGCGAGACTCAAACTGTCATTATCATCAGCATACCACCCGCAGACCAACGGGCAGACGGAACGTACAAACTAGACCCTGGAGCAGTATCTCCGATGCTACACTTCATTCCTCTAGGATGATTGGATGACTCTCTTACCACAGGCCGAATTCGCTTATAACAATGCGAGTCACGCCGCTACTCAGCAATCCCCGTTCTTTGCCAACTACGGATTCCACCCTACGTTTCTACCTAACACAATTCCAGAGTAGTACTGGCTACACAGGATCTGTTACAATTCTTTTCAGTAAATAACAAGGTGCTTCAGGAGACAAAGTCTCAGGAAGATAGTAAGAGGGCCTGCGATAAAAGAAGGAGGGGCGAACTTGTTCTGCACCCGGGGGACCAGGTCTGGCTGGCCACAACAAATGTGAAAATTCATGGGTCCATTTAAGGTGAGACGGAAAATCAACGAGGTGGCATATGAACTCGTACTCCCCGAATCCTTCAGAATACACCCAGTGTTTCATGTGTCCCTGTTGAATCCCGCGGCATCGGATCCATTCCCGAACCGGAGATCTAGACCTCCAGAGGCCATAGACATTGATGGGGAGGAGGAATTTGAGGTGGAAACAGTTCTAGATTGCAGGAAAAGGAGAGGCCAGACCCAATTCCTTATTAAATGGAAAGGTTATGGCCCGGAGGAAAACTCGTGGGAACCTGCCCAGAACGTTCATGCCCCTAGACTGATCCAGGAGTTTTTTCCGTAATCACCCACACAGGAGAAGACAGTTGGGCATCCGGTGGCTGCCCATGGGGGGGGGGGGCAATGTCAGGGATCAGTGTCCCTGCCACGATACGCCGGGCAGCGCATGCGCAGGACCCCAATGCATTCTAATCAGCAGGCAGCGGGACCCGGCGATCGCGATGGCCACGCATGCGCACTCACGATCGCGGACACGCGCCTGGCACCAATGACAGCGCAGGGCGGGCTACTTAAACAGGAATAGAGGTATGTCAAATTGCCGTTTGGTCTTTTGTGCTCTGTTCCTGATACCTGATCCTGTGTTACTCCGTTGCCGACCTCTGCTTTGTACCTGACCCTGCTGATTGTATCCTGCTTAACCCTTGGCTTGCCTGACCATCCTTCTGCCTGACCCCTTGTACCGCGCTGTCCGCTAGTTACTGAACCCGGCTTGTGACCTCGACCATTCTCTAGCCTCTCCTCCGGTACCTCGCTGCCCGCACGTTGCTGACCTGGCCCGCCTGACTACGCTTCCAGCCACCCAGACGATCCATCCATCCGTCCCTCAGGGATCGTCCCTGGTTACCAGGTCTGCCAGCCTCTTCACAGCAGACTTACCCCGCACTCCTCTGACGGTGCTCTCTACTAGAGATGAGCGAATTATTCAAAAATTCGGTTCGGCTGATTCGCCGAATTTGCCGATTAAATTTGCTTCGTGCCGAATATATTCGCTGAAAATTTAACTTATAAAAAGGGTGTTTCTAGGCTTCAGGGAGCCTTTATATTAGTGCAGAACACTGTACCTTTAATTTAAATGCCCTTGGAGTCTGCTGGGGAAGAGAAATAATACTGTCAGTCAGTATGACATGCAGATGAGTGCCGTCGATCTTAGAATCACCGCACACTTCACTCATTTGGGCAGTCACGGGGCCAAAACCAGAGTGTGGAGCCACAGTGTGGCGGTGGAGGCAGCAGCAATGGGAGGCCATACAGCACCCTATGACAAAATGGAACCCACCAGCAGTGTGAGGAGACCTGAAAGTGGCACATGGCAGAGTGTGGCGATGGAGACAGCAGCAATGGGAGGCCGTACAGGGACCCATGACACACTCTGGACCTGGCAGCAGCATGAGGAGGCGGTACAGGGGCCCATGACAGATTACGGGCCTGGCAGCAGCATGAGGAGTCGGTACGGGGGCCCATGGCAGATTACGGGCCTGGCAGCAGCATGAGGAGGCGGTACAGGGGCCCATGGCAGAGTGTGGCGGAGCGTAAGCAGCTAAAATTGAAGGCCATACAGAGGCCTATGTTAAAAAGTCCCCCCAGCAGCAGCGTGGGGAGACAACTATCAAGAGTCCAATGGCAGAGTGGCGGAGCAGAAGCAGCTTCAATTGAAGGCCATACACAGGCCTAGGTTTAAAAGTCCCTCACAGTTAATTCCAATAACGAACTCTACTCCTCCGTGCAATCTACTTACGAGACCCTGGGCAGGTCTGGGTCCAATTTGTGGTAGAGACTGGTTTTGTTCAGCATGCTGCTGAGCGAGTAATAACAGGTCTGTGCTGCCCTTTGGTGTCTGGCTTAATGCGCACAACACTGAACGTCCCAGCGTTTGTCAACGATTTGCCGTTAAGTGATGCAAACCCGCTGAACCACGTTCATGAGGAGCCGGTACAGGGGGCCATGAATCAGTATGGACCTGGCAGCAGCGTGAGCAGACGACAGAGGCACATGGCGCAGGGTGGCGGTGTAGGCAGCATTATTCTGAAGCCATACACAGGCCTAGGTTAAAAAGCGGAAGCCGTCAGCAGCGTGAGCAGACAACAGAGGCACATGGCGCAGGGTGGCAGTGGAGGCAGCAGCAATGGAAGGCCATACAGCACCCTATCACAAAATGGAACCCACCAACAGTGTAAGGAGACCTGAAAGTGGCACATGGCAGAGTCTGGCGATGAAGTCAGCAGCAATGGGATGCCGTACAGGGACCCATGACACACTCTGGACCTGGCAGCAGCAAGAGGAGGAGGCGGTACAGGGGCCCATGGCAGAGTGGCGAAGCGTAAGCAGCCTAAATTGAAGGCCATACAGAGGCCTATGTTAAAAAGTCCCCCCAGCCGCAGTGTGGGGAGACGACTATCAAGAGTCCAATGGCAGAGTGGCGGAGCAGAAGCAGCTTCAATTGAAGGCCATACACAGGCCTAGGTTAAAAAGTCCCCCCAGCAGCAGCGTGGGGAGACGACTATCAAGAGTCCAATGGCAGAGTGGCGGAGCGGAAGCAGCTTCAATTGAAGGCCATACACAGGCCTAGGTTAAAAAGTCCCCCCAGCAGCAGTGTGGGGAGACGACTATCAAGAGTCCAATGGCTGAGTGGCGATCCGGGAAGTCAGCGTTGTGATTGCAGGTGCAATGCAGAGATTCTATGAGGTGATGCCATGGGTGCGAAGAAGATCATATACCTAGAAATTCTGAAGGACCCTCTGCACACTGGTATATACCCTTTCAAGCAAACTATGCAACAAATAGGGATATTTGGTTCACACATATTGCAATACATGTTTAAGCTGGCCAACTGCGTCAAAGTAATCCACAGTAGCACTTGTGTAGGCAGGGCAGAGTAGGACTGGCCATAGAGGGATTACTTTGACGCAGTTGGCCAGCTTAAACATGTATTGCAATATGTGTGAACCAAATATCCCTATTTGTTGCATAGTTTGCTTGAAAGGGTATATACCAGTGTGCAGAGGGTCCTTCAGAATTTCTAGAGTTAATGTGGTTACACCCCTTTAGCACCTGATGGATAAATGCATGCACTAGCTGTATGGATTTGAGCACAGGGATCTCTTGTTTGTTGTATTGTTGGGTCAGTAGCCAGACCTGAACCTTGTAGCTCTCCCCATTGTGTCTTTTCCCCTATGCTAGCATTGTGTCCACAGTAGCACTTGTGTAGGCAGGGCAGAGTAGGACTGGCCATAGAGGGATTACTTTGACGCAGTTGGCCAGCTTAAACATGTATTGCAATATGTGTGAACCAAATATCCCTATTTGTTGCATAGTTTGCTTGAAAGGGTATATACCAGTGTGCAGAGGGTCCTTCAGAATTTCTAGAGTTAATGTGGTTACACCCCTTTAGCACCTGATGGATAAATGCATGCACTAGCTGTACGGATTTGAGCACAGGGATCTCTTGTTTGTTGTATTGTTGGGTCAGTAGCCAGACCTGAACCTTGTAGCTCTCCCCATTGTGTCTTTTCCCCTATGCTAGCATTGTGTCCACAGTAGCACTTGTGTAGGCAGGGCAGAGTAGGACTGGCCATAGAGGGATTACTTTGACGCAGTTGGCCAGCTTAAACATGTATTGCAATATGTGTGAACCAAATATCCCTATTTGTTGCATAGTTTGCTTGAAAGGGTATATACCAGTGTGCAGAGGGTCCTTCAGAATTTCTAGAGTTAATGTGGTTACACCCCTTTAGCACCTGATGGATAAATGCATGCACTAGCTGTATGGATTTGAGCACAGGGATCTCTTGTTTGAAGATCATATACCGTCGTACTTCCATCCATAAGACGGAACAACCTGCGAACCGGGAGCTTTATTGCCCTGACCCGCTGAGCAGCTTCTGGGATACCCAAGAGGCCCATGGCAGAGTGGCGGAGCGTAAACAGCTTCAATTAAAGGCCATACAGAGGCCTATGTTAAAAAGTCCCCCCAGCAGCAGCGTGGGGAGACGACTATCAAGAGTCCAATGGCAGAGTGGCGATCCGGGAAGTCAGCGTTGTGATTGCAGATGCAATGCAGAAATTTTATGAGGTAATGCTGTGGGTGCGAAGAAGATCATATACCGTCGTACTTCCATCCATAAGACGGAACAACCTGCAAACCGGGAGCTTTATTGCCCTGACCCGCTGAGCAGCTTCTGGGATATCCAAGAGTTTGGCTTCTGTGGGGAATATGGTTGAAAACTGAAACTTAAAGGCATGTTGACGGAAGGGCACCAGTGTCAGTGCTCCGGAGGGAATATAGCTTCAAAGCTGACACTTAAAGGTATATCGACGGTCAGGGACCACAGGAAGTGGAGCTTGCGTCTTAAATCGACTGAATGTGGCAGACGTGAAACGTCTACGGGCCGTATATGAAACGGGTTGTTCCTCTTTCTGGAATAAGTGTTGGAAATGGCCACTCTTTTTGTGTGTGTGGCGTTTTGTCTATTTAATTCCGATAACGGACTCTACTCCTCCGTGCAATCTAGTTACGAGACCCTGGGCAGGTCTGGGTCCAATTTGTGGTAGTGACTGGTTTTGTTCAGCCATGCTTGAGCGAGTAATAACAGGTCTGTGCTGCCCTTTGGTGTCTGGCTTAATGCGCACAACACTGAACGTCCCAGCATTTATCAACGATTTGCCGTTAAGTGATGCAAACCCGCTGAACCACGTTCATGAGGAGCTGGTACAGGGGGCCATGAATCAGTATGGACCTGGCAGCAGTGTGAGGAGACCCGAAAGTGGCACATGGCGCAGGGTGGCGGTGGAGGCAGCAGTATTCGGAAGCCATACACAGGCCTAGGTTAAAAAGCGGAAGCCGTCAGCAGTGTGAGCAGACGACAGAGGCACATGGCGCAGGGTGGCGGTGGAGGCAGCAGTATTCGGAAGCCATACACAGGCCTAGGTTTAAAACTGGAACCCAGCAGCGTGAGCAGACGACAAAGACGCACATGGCAGAGGATGGATCTGGCAGCAGTATGAGAAGGCGGTACAGGGGCCCGTGGCACAGTGTGGTGATGGGGGCTACAGCAACTGGATGCCAGAAAGTGGCCGATAGGGCTATATACTGCATGGAATTATAAAGTTGTGAAGACAGCGGCCTATAAGGCTATACACACTATAACAATCATGACTTGATTGACCATTGGCCTATAAGGCTATACACAGCATGAATATCATGACTTATTCTGAGAGTGGTTTGGAAGGCTATATACAAAAAGTAATTCATGAGCTGTCCGGACAGCGGACAATAAGTACATATATACAAATCAATTCATCAGCTGTCCAGCCAGCGGCCTCAAAGGCGACACATATAGAAAGCAATCATGAGCTGTTCAGACAGCGGCCTCTAAGGCGACAGATATACAAAGCAATTCCCGAGGTGTTCAGGGAGCGGCCTGAACGGCTAGGTTATTACTAAATATATTTTTGTGGCCAAACATCGGCCTATAAATAGATGTCTACACAGTGACAAAAAATTATGTCGCCAGACAGCGGCCCCTAAGGCGACAGATATACAAAGCAATTCCCGCGAGCGCACAGGGCCCACAGTGTCTGAGGATGGACGTTGGCGCAGAAAGGCAGAGACCAACTGACTACATAGGTGGTTTTTATAGTACTTTATTTTGGCCTCCCTCTCAGCAGGTGTGAAAAAGGCCACCATTTTTGAACGGTAGCGAGGGTCCAACAAGGTGGACAGCCAAAAGTCATCCCTCTGTATGATGGTTATTATTCGGCTGTCGCTACGCAAGCAACTGAGCATGCTATGGGCCATTTGTGCCAAGGAATGCGAGGGACTCCCTGCCTCCATCCATCTCCACAGCATACTGCCACGGTGCGTCTGGGTCCTCTGTCTCCTCCTCCTCCTCTACCAGATGCTCCTGCTCCTCCACTCCTGTCCGCTGAGTGGAAAAACCACCCATTTCACTCAATAATTCCTGAGCACCAATGTCCTCCTCTACCTCCTCCTCTTCTTCCTGTTCTGCCCCCACAGGGGTCATGTGGCGTTGAGATCTGTGCGCCACGTCTACCGCACCCTGACCAGCCATTGTTTAACAGCATTTGTTCCAGGACGTGCAACAGAGGAATGACGTCGTTCATCCCATAGTCCTGCCGACTCACGAATAGCGTGGCCTCCTCAAAGGGCCTGAGCAAGCGGCAGGTGTCACGCATGAGCTGCCAATGGCTGACATCTAAGTTACACAGGGGAGTACCTTTATCCGCTTGTAACATCAGGAAATCGGTGATGGCCTTTCGCTGTTTGTAAAGGCGGTCTAACATATGTAGGGTTGAATTCCACCTTGTTGCAACGTCGCAGATCAGGCGATGTTGTGGAATTCCGTTCTGCCGCTGCAGCTCAAGGAGGGTGTGCTTTGCGGTGTAGGAATGGCTGAAATGCATGCAAAGTTTACGTGACATTTTAAGGATGTCTTGCAGTGGGATGGTGGATTTTAGGAACCGCTTGACAACCAGATTGAACACGTGAGCCATGCATGGCGCATGGCACAACCTTCCTTGACGCAGAGCAGACACCATGTTCTTTCCGTTGTCGGTCAACATGGTTCCGATTTTCAGTTTGCGCGGAGACAGCCATCTGTCGATTTCTCTGTTCATTACACTCAGAAGTTCCTCCCCTGTGTGACTACGTTCGCCAAGGCATACCAGGTGCAGCACAGCGTGACACCGTTGCGCCCTGCACATGTGATATGCCGGTCGGGTAATGGGACTTGGCACGGGGGTGGCGGCTGAGGACACGGCGGAAGAAGAGGTGGTAGAGGCGGACATCTTTGCTGGACCAAGGACGTGCAAACGTGGAGGCAAAAGCGGCGTGACCTGTCCAAGTTGCTGGTGCGGCTGTGCCGGCACCACGTTCACCCAGTGGGCCGTAAATGACATGTACTGTCCCTGACCGTAGTTACAGCTCCACACGTCGGCGCTGCCGTGCACTTTGGCAGAGACCGACATGCTCAAAGACTGGCCCACCATCTCTTCTACATGTGAATGCAGGGCTGGCACTGCCTTTTTGGCGAAGAAATGCCGGCTTGGCACTCTCCACCGTGGCTCGGCACAAGCCATCATTTCTCGGAAAGGTGCTGAGTCCACCACTTGGAAAGGGAGGGACTGCAGCACCAGCAACTTGGACAGGAGGACGTTCAGCTTCTGCACCGTCGGGTGCGTGCTCGCAAAACTGTCGTCCCTTGGAAACGGATTCCAAGAAAGACTGCTGACGGAATCCGTGAAGAGGAGTAGCAGGAGAAGGAGCATCTGAACGAGCAGAAGATGCCAACGAGCGACAACTCCCCTCAGCAGAGGTGTTGGAGCCTTGACTGGCTGATAGAGGGCGATTGACGTCGGGTGACGGAGCAAGTAACGGAGCGGGTGATGGAGCGGGGGCTGGGGCAGGCAGGAACCGCCGTATCTTTATCACGGTTTTCCCAGGCCACCGAATGGCGACGCTGCATATGCTGACGCAACGCTGTAGTCCCAACATTGGCCCCCTGGCCACGCTTGACTTTCTGGCCACATAGTCGACATACGGCTACGTTT